GGACCGCAGCAGGCATAATCAGCAAACCAGGAAAACAAAGAACAGGACAGGTGAGATGTGTATCCAGAAAGCGAGTGATCAGAAAAAAGAAATGGTGTCTTTCCCTGACATTAGCTCATCGGTATGGTGTAAGTTTACCCTTACTTTGTGCAACTGGAAAATAATTCGTGATCGGATCAACGAAATGCTTCGTAGAAGGAGGCGCTCTTTTCCTCTAGTCTAACAGTCTGTCCACAAACAAAACATTCCTGTTAGACAAGAGGAATTGAAAAAAAACAATTTTGTCAATGGAAACCGGTGCGTGTGTCTCTCTCTGCTGGATGTCCCTCTCACTCTCTGCTGAATGAATAAAAGCATTTTATTAAAAACGCGTTTGCGTTTGTCTGGTATTTACTTTGGTCCCTTTTAACTGTTTTTGCTTTGAGATGCCACGTTTAAAGGTGATATGTAAAACAAAGTTTTTTATTATTGTAATAGAGAAACATGATCAGATTTTCCCTGGTTCAGAAAAAAAGATCTAAAGTGATACACAGAACTTTCTTAATTCGATGTATTTAAAGCAGTGAACTACTGTAGGTGTAACATAACATTCAGAAATACAGTCACGTATTTGACAAATAAAAACGATTACAATCTAATCCTTCCACGTTTGATCCCAAAATCCCAAGAAATATACATCTAAACAGGTAGAAAGCTATGCTGAAAGTTTATTAAGATACTTAGAAGACAAAGATACTGTATCAATTTATGTTGCATTAGCCTGATTATGATTAAAAAACACATCTAATTAAACACGCGTTTAAGATTTAAATCAGAACACGATTTAAATCAATTTAAATGTTTATATTGTAACGCATACTGTCCAGCCTTCATTTCTCTATAAAAATGTACTCTATTGCACACACACACACAATAGAAGCAGGAAGCAGAAGCAGGGACTGTTGTCAGAACGGAAGAAGGTGACTATTCATTGTTATCAAAAATGACTTAGAATCGATCATGTTGTGATATATTGAAATATAAAAGTCAATTGATTGTCCATAATATCGTTATTCTATTTTTTTGAAGAAATGTTTGTTAAAAGAAAAGTCCAGCACCAGCTGGATTTGAACACACAACCTGTGAGCTGTTAGTCAGGCACATAGACCAGTGGGCTACAGGGGAAGCCACATGAAGAGGGAGGCGAAACAGCCCTACACAGCCCTGTCGCAGTACACTAATATAATCATATCGTTATTAAATTCTTTAGATACGCGATTCCATATTATATTAGCAGAAAAGCTTAAAACTACCACTTTTTCACACGTTATTTCACATGCTAGTTAAATACTTCGATGCTTAAAACTGTTAGGGAGAAATGGAATACCGGTGTGTATTTTTCCTTTAAAGTACCGATTCCTGGAATCTGACTGGCTGACACCCTTCTGAAGTGGTTCCATAAAATCTGGTATACGGAAAAGAAAGCATTGATACATACAAGTATCTTTTAATACAGTCTTTGCTGTGCTCTTGAGGATCCTTGTGATATTTTGAGCTCTAGTTGAATGATAAGTGTCGCATTTTAAATCATTTTCGTAGTTAGAAATTATGAAACACCCTGTTCAAAGCAAGGACGTTTTTATGCCCGTTGAAGTAAAACAAAATGCCTGACAAAGTATGGCTTGGACAGATTCCAAGTGCTTGTACAAATGTGCTAAAGAAATTATACTTTGAGTATATAGCTTGTCCAAAGTCATCCATTATAGTACTATTAGTAATATCTTCGGTAAAGGCTTTGATGCATAAATATTTCTGATAAATGTAGGTTGTGTACTTTTGTCCAACTGAGCAATCTTGCTTTCATAAAATATACCAACATTTTAATGACTGATGATTAACATGCTGTAATACACAGTTCAAAATTAAAAGTTCAAATGCTGTACATGAGAGGTTAAGCTCCCCCTTGCGGTTTTACAAGGTGACGCCGGATAGTTTCCTGTAGAGCGTCAAATGACCCGCTATTAACCACGTGACACTGCGTGACACCGCGACACGCCCACCGGGGTATGCCGCGAAATACCTCACCCATTTTGAATGGCTGCATCTGTATATATATAACAAGGAAAATATATTTTTACAAGATGCGGGGAAAAGTGCAACAACGTATTACAGTGATAAATGTAATATTATTGATTACTAATAATTTATGCTAACACCTAACATTCTTAAGTAGATGTATTTAAAACAATGAACTAAGTGTAACATAACATTCAGAACTGGTGCCGTTCGCATCCCACTCTGTAGAACAGCCATTACGTAAGACTGAGCTCCCCACCTCTTCTGTCTCTTGGTGCCGTCTCCCCCTCTGACAGAGTGCAGTGGACGGTATGCTATTTTCAGAGCCTCTGATTGGGAAAAAAAGACCTGCTGATCTGTCCTACATAATAGGAAGAGAACAGAATGTGATTTTTTCTGTTCGAAATGAGTGTTGTCTTTATGAAATTCATGTATTTTAATAGTTTAAGAAGTAAAAAACTTCCACTATACACAAAGATTCTAAGCTGATCACAAGGAAGTAATATTTTGCACATAAAAAGTGGTTATAAACTATTGAAACCTGTTTTTACAGCTTTAAAAGTCATGCAATCTCTAAGTTAAGCAGGAACACATCATTATATCTTATTTTTTATTTCTTTTATAAAAATGAAAAAAATTGTCTGCCCAGACTACTTGTGCCCATTGCTTACCAGGATAGGCTCTGCCTCCCCCATTACTCTGTATTGGATAAAGTGTAATTGTAGTGGCTTAAAATAAAACATGCATAACAATGTCAAAGACCATGCATTACCTAGATTTAAGCTGTTGTTGGCACATGGACTGTCTAGAATATTTTTTTTAAAAGCTTTCTCTTTGCAGAAGTAATCACCCAGTCTTTCCTGACCACAGACATTTTTTTGTTATTTTATTTTGTTTGGTAGGACCAGCCCTGAAGACAGTATCTCCAAAGCAGGAATGCGAGGAAAGGAAGCATGAGATTCTGCCAGACAAGGAAAGTGAAAGTGGAACTTCCCTGAATGAGCTTTCCTCCTCCAGTTCTGAGACCCATTCGGAGATCACAACACCACATGATGGAAGCACCAGTGCCCTAGTTCAGTCTACCTTACGTCAGCCAAGGACACTTACTTTGGACAGACCATCAAAAAGGGTCTCTGTGCAGTGGGTGCAGCTCCCAGAGAAGCGCAGGAACAGCGAGCTCTTCCAGTCATTAATTAGCAACCCTCGAGAGACCAATCTAAACAAAAAGAAAGTAACAGAAATGCTGAGTGTGAAAGAAGAAATGAAACAGTGCATTCAGGATTTTCAAAAAATTAAAATACCAGAAAAATTTCCAGAACGCAAATGTCAGTGGCAATCTGAACTGCTCCAAAAGTATGGACTATAAGTCATTTTCCTGACCTGAGTTATGACACACTTAGATTGTTGTACTCATCTTATAGATCCAGTCATCTTATAGATCCAGTCCACATGTATTTATTTCTGAGATAGTTTCAAAACATAACAGGCTTTCTTCAAAAAGTATAACATTTGGCAATTCTAAAACAGTCACTTCTGATATTCAAAACCTAACTTGTTATTGACTAAAGTTTTGGTATTAAAAACCATGTGCCTCTGTAAATACAATTTGGACCTTCATAAAAACAACAAAACTAAGGCAGAAAGCCACCAAATAATTTCAACATGTTTTTTCTTCAAACTGTTGTAATTAATCTTTATGTAATTGCATGAATGGCACAAATAATGAAACATTTCAGATTGATAAGTAAAGACATTTATCAACACATACAATGTGCAAGGTAAATGCAGTTAGTTATTCTGTAAGAGTATATTTGTAGATTTTCTTAGAAAAAGAAATGCTTTGGTTGTTTAAGAAAACAAAAAGAAATATGTTTCCTTATTTACAATACTTTACATATCATATGTAATATTAAAATTACATATTTTGACTGTACCGTTTGTTAATGGTCATTGATAATCTGTTGTTTCAAAGATTCTTTGTACTCTGCCATACATGTAAGACCAATTTCAAAACAATTTTGACAATATCCTATATCAAAAGTGTTTTAACAATGTATTGCTTGTCAGACTAGAAAGTAGTAAGTTAGTATGCACTGTTTTCTGAATGTTTAGTATTGGCGTATTATCATAACTAGCAAAATAAATAGCATAAATAGCATAAGGCTGTTTTAATTAAATGCTCCAATTTATGGTAATTAGACCTGTTTTCCGAACAGTCACACATTCAAAAGTCATATGCATGTATTCCCTTCCATCTCTGATAGAATGTCATGGCACCTTTTATCAACATGATTTTATGTCTAATAAAAGCTAAATTAAATATGAAAATTTAGCAGATTTTTTTCAGATAAAAAAACCTTTATATTACCATTTTGAAAATAAAGAAAAATATATCTAAAAATGTTGAAGTCTAGCAATAAGACTTCCACTTGAATCTTGAAATGTGTACACTGTTCTTATTAGTTTCACTAATTGTGGAGTCAGAAATTCTGAAATCAATACATAATGATATAGTAAATATAGTGCTCCCTATTATAAGCTCAGGTTTTGTTTTGTGATTTTCTGTGAAATAATGCATCATTTACAGTTTGCATGGGGGTATACTGCAATTGTGGAAATGTTTTTTCTCATCATTAAGTCTCATACAAATACTTATCATGAGTCTATACAAAGATTACCTTCTGCAAATCAGAAATAATCAATGTCCTACTAGCATTGATAAAACAAGCCTGTGGTACACTTGGTAGCTTGACATTAGAACCTCATTTTCAGATTATTTTATGGGTGGGCTGAAGAGTAATATGGAAGCCCATTTCCGCCAGAGAGTAAAAAAAAATGTGCTATGGTATCACACAATTGTGACTATATCTCAGAATTCCGAGTTTATATCTCGCAATTGCGAATTTGTATATCAGAATTATGACTTAAAATCTCAGAATTATGACTTTATTTCTCGTAATTGCGAGTTCATATCTCGCAATTGCGACATAGATTTTCAGAATTACGAATTCATATCTTATAAATACGACTCACGTTTGCGACTTTTTATCTCATGTTTGCGACTTCAAAATAGCCCACATTTCATTGTCTGTCCTTTTGTTATTGTAATGAATTCGGGTCATATGGCTTGTTCCCTCGCCGCTCCCACCCTATTTCATGCCTCACTGCAGGTCTTGCCTGCTGAGCTAAAGAAGACCTTCTTTAGCCCTGCCAGACAACACCCTTGTTATGCACAGGGGAGGGCGGTACCGTCACCATACTGCAACCAGATCATACAATCTGTATGTTGGCTGTTCCATTACACTATATTCATAAATCGTACAGGATCTATAGGCCTGAAGACTTGTCAAGTTCCCTGATAAAAATCAAATTACACTTATTTTTATGGAATCCCACAGAAATAGACACTTCATATCCAGAGGAATTCACAATTACAAAAGCTGAAACTTTTTACTTTTTAAATATTTCCATTGCATGTCTTGCCTTTTGATTCTTTCTAATAGAATTTAAGTAAAAAAGGAATTGTACTTTAAAAAAATTAATAGATAGAGCAATATTAGACCATTTACTTTTGTGGATGATGTATTTTGCCAAAATAAACAGATTAATAATAAGAACATATCCTTTATCCAAAAATATAAAAATATAAAATATAAAAATCTTTAAATTTAAAATTTACCTTTAAATGTTATACAATAACATTTTGCAAATCTATCCAAAACAGTTTTGTATATATTGTAAGCAATTAACAAACAAATGTAAAAAAGAATCTTTCTCATTATTACAAAATACAAAATCTTGTTCATGTTTAAATCTAGAAAGTGTCAATTTAACAGGTTAAATTTATGAACGATCTTAAATGAAATTTGTAAGACAGAATCTGTCAGCAATTGTCCAGACTAATTTCCCATTTATATTCCTAAAAATACAGATGCAGCCACTCAAAATGGGTGGGGTATTTCGCGGTATACCCCGGTGGGCGTGTCGCATCAAAACGCAGTATCACACAGTGTATCACGTAATTTGATGTCATACCGGAAAGTATCCGGAATCACCTTGTAAAACCACCAGGAGGACCCAATAAAGCTTAACCTGTCATGTATAGCATTTGAGCTTTTAAATTTAAACTGTGTATTACAGCATGTTAATCATCAGTCATTAAAAAGTTGATATATTTTATGAAAGCAAGATTGCTCAGTTGGGCAAAAGTACACAACCTACCTTTATCATAAATATTTTAATTATGCAGAAATATTTTATGCATCAAAGCCTTTACCGAAGATATTACTCATATTATTAATAATGAATGACCTTGGACAAGCTGTAAACTCAAAGTATTATGCTGGTCCACATTATTTATAACAGTCATTTTAAATGAAAATACTTTATTTTTTCATCGACAAAAAGTAACAACCCAGCATTTCGTTGATCTAACTAGCAAGGACGGGACATTAGCTAGCCAATATGATAAAGGAATAAATTACTTTTTTTGTTTATTTCTTTAGCACATTTATTTGAACATTTCCATCGATTGTTAAAGCACTGAAAAACTGTCCAATCCCTAGTTTGTTGGGCATTTTCTTTTAGTATAACAGACATAAAATTCCCTTGCTTTTAACAGAGCGTTTCATAATTTCTAACAACAAAAACTATTTAAACTGCGACACTTATCATTCAACCAGAGCTCAAAATATCACAATGATCCTCAAGAGCACAACAAAGACTGTTTTAAAAGATACTTGTACCAGATACATGAGAATCCAAACTTTTGTATCTACCTCTTTAAAATTTATCACATAGTAACAAGTCAAATTTCAGGGGCATCCGTATACCAGAGATTATGGTACCGCTTCAGAAGGGTGTCAGCCAGTCAGATTCCAGGACCGGAATTATCTGTTTTATAATTGAGAATATGTAAGCACACATCTTAATAAATTAATCATGATAATAACTTAAGGATCTAAATTTCTAAATCTAGGTATCTATAGCTGGTAGTATATCTGTTTTTCACTTTCTTTGTAAACATGATTTGTTAACACCCAAAATGCAGGTGGATTCTGTTTTTTGGTCTGTTATGGTCTGTAGCTCAAATCCTGCTTAACTAAAAATTAGACGGAGAAAAGAGTATTATTGGACAATGTTGTGAGGCTCTGGCGGAATTTCTCGGTAAACTGAGGAGTTATAGAGGAGATAAGTTGTGTATCGCTTCTTTTGGCACTTGTAAAAAAAAACATTCCAATGCTAATGCGACACAGAAGATAACGTGGTGTACTGGTCGTTAGTGAAAAAATGTAATCATTTAATCTTTTTACTGTGCACATTTTAATCCGCTTAGTACTGAATATTTATATGGAATTTACCACTAAAGGGAAATTTTAGTAGCTAAGCATAATACGCAGAGGAGCATAACGAAGGTCATAAAGGTCATAAACGATATTAAGTTAGGAACATATACATATTTTGTAAAGTGTATGTTGCTGTTATTGCTATTTTAAAGAAAAAATACACACCAATACTCAATTTTTCCTAAAGTATATAACACGTTCTTACTGTATGTATAGTACGCAACGGTACCGCAGGTTGAACTGTAGGGCGCAAACCCACCTGAACCCAAAAGCCCAACATAATAATGTGCATTCGCCTGACGCGGCGCGTTTTTCATCAGTCTCTGCGGGAGTGCTGGCTGTGATTAATTAAACCAGTTTCACAGGTATTTTCAACCCCCAACCAATGTTGTTTCATCGGTTAGATGATAGATAGATACTTTATTGATCCCATGAGGGAAATTGCAGATAATATGACAGGTTGTTATCCTATAAAGCACTTTGAGGAGCCACCTTTAAAGGTGCTATATTAATAAAGTTTATTATTATTATTATTATTATTATTATTAATATTGATCATATTTTTCCTCCCAGAACTTGTAAATTGTTGTTGTTATTGTTGTTGTTATCCTGTAAAGCGCTTTGAGAAGCATACTGTCCAGCTTGTCAGGTGCATTCCGCTGCAAACTGCAAATTGCAAATTCCGCTGCAATGGTTGTATGCAGGAATTTTTCAGTATGGCATCTCCATGTTCAAGTAAACACTGCTCTGTGTGCAAATGCAAATGCATTTAATTTTTTTTTTAAGCCACCTTTAAAGGTGCTATATAAAATAAATTGATGATATTCTTCCTCCCAGGACTTGTTATATTGTTGTTGTTACTTGTTGTTATCCTGTAAAGCCCTTTGAGAAGTATACTGTCCAGCATTTTGTATTTCATTGCACTTTGACAGATCGTCTTATAATCACTTTATGCTATAATATTCCCCAAGAGGATATTCCCCCCAAGAAGATATAGAGGATATTCCCCAAGAGGTATCCAGGTAACAGTGAAACGGGCGTACAGTCTGGGGAGATCGCTGATTCCCTGGTTCCGCACCCATTGGTGTCTCTCTCTCTCTCTGTCTCTCTCGGGCCTGCGCTCTTGGTGGGCTTGTCTTGTGTTTCTCTCTCGTCTGGGCGCGGGAGTGCTGCTGGCGGGTGGTAACGTAGAAGAAATAAAGCGCAGTTTTTAACTCCACAGGTTTGAGTCTTTGTGTTTGTCCTCAACAAACCCAAATTAATTACATTGGTGTCAGAAGCGGGAGGATGGACAGTGACCGGTTGATGAAGTCGGACTCAGAGAAGCGCTGGTTCCCCCGGCAGCCGAGTGACCCCCTAAAACGCCTGGATGTATCCGGGGACCAGAGGTACAACTATGCGGCGTTGGCGTCGGCCTTCAGTAGGCGTT